AAACACTTCCACTATCTGGAAGCAAGCATTCATACATATGACCATACGGGAGCCTTTCCCATTCATACCACAGTGTCATGCATCTATAATCCTAGAACTGGAAAGTTAGGTTCAGGAGGATCAGAAATTAAAGGTTATTTTCCGATACATGTTCAGTCCAGCACAGTCTGTTGAGAGGGAGAGGGAGGAAAGAGAGGAAAATGAGGGGGAGAGAGGAGGGAGGAATACAGGAAAGTAAGAAAGGAGGAAAGGAAAGAAGGGAAGAAAGAAGGAAAGACAATACAGACCTTTATATGCACACCATGTATCTACAAACTTGCCATCCCTCTCTTTCACACACATTGAAAATACTAACTTTTACAAAGGTTTTCTTGTAACCTTTGTAGAGCAATTCAGAAAAGAATGTGAAAATTCAATGGATGTCTTGAACATTTCCTTCTCTCTGTGAGGGATAGAAAATAGTGCTTGCTTTTTACAGATCTGGTGTGGATGTTGTAGCAGGAGTGTGGAGCAAGGAAGAAACTTTGATCTCTTTCGGTACTCTAGGAGGAAGTTGTCCTCCTTAAAGGAGAATATCTTCAGTAAGGACAGACATGGAGCAGGGAGAGTGTAAGGGGATGGGATACACACCCAAGTCAGCTCAGCTGAATCAATCCTGTTCATCAATTGGTGACAAAACAATCAAATTGCACTCACATTCAGTACTTTGCTTTTTAAAAGTGTGGTGACAGGGTAATGTTTCACAGGTGACAGGGAGATAAATACTACAAGACTAATTTTCAAGCCAAGAAAAAAGGCTGTTGTATGAAAGAACTCAAAAGACAAGTACCAAATAATATGCATGCTTACAAAGTAAAATTGAAAACTTTAGTGTGCAAGATGCCATTTATTCAAATATAACATCAAGATGTTTATAAGTACAACCCATTGTTCTGCGTTAAAATCAGGGCACACTTCTATCCTAGGGATTTTATGTTTGTCACATTCCTTCATGGGTTTTGTTCATAAACAGAAGAATTCAGTTTGTAGTTCAATCATAGTTGTTTCTGTGGCTGTGGCTTTCAATGTCCATTGCAGTTGCCACATTGCTCAAATGTATTGATCATCAACTCTGTCATTGCACATGAATTTTTTAATAATCTAATCTAAAATGTATCACTGCCAAAAGTTGTCCCCTTGCCACATAATAATCAAAACACTAGACATAGAGAATGAAGAAAGAATTTTAAGAATCGCAAAGGAAAAAAGCCAAGTAACATATAAAGGGAGATCTATCAGAACTACACCTGACTTTTCAATGGAAACAATGAAAGCCAGAAGGTCCCAAACAGACACTAAGATGCCATGGATGCAAGCAGAGACTACTCTACCCAGCAAAGCTTTCAACTGACAGAGATGGAGAAAACAAGATATTCCATGACAATTTAAAAAATTAAGCAGATTTAAACCATACTATCCATAAATTCTATACTACAGAAAGTACTAGAAGGAAAACTCCAACCCAAGAAACTCAGTTACATCCACAAAAACACAGGAAATGGATAATCTCACAACAGCAAAACCCAAAGAAAGAAAACACACACAGTATACCCACCACCATCAAAACCAAAAAATAACAGGAATTAACAATCACTGGTCAATAACATCTCTTAATATCAATGGAATCAATTTGCCTATAAAAACACAGGGTAACAAAATGAATACAAAAACATGAGATGTCCTATTGCATACAATAAACACCTCAATTTCAAAGACAGACATTATCACATAGTAAAGGGTTAGGAAAATATTTTCCAATCAAATGGACCTAAGAAAACAGTTGGTGTAGCTATGCAAATATCTAACAAAATAGACTTCAAATTAAATTAGTCAAAAAAGAGAACATTTCATATTTATCAAAGGAAAAATCCATCAAGCTAAGGTCTCAATTATGAGCATCCATGTCCCAAATACTAGGGTACCCACATTTGTAAAAGAAACCATTACTAAAGCTAAATCACACATCAAAATCCACACATTAATAGTGGGGCCCTCAATACCCCACTCTCACCAATGGGCAGGTCTGCCAGACAGAAACGTAACAGGGAAACAGGGGAACTAACCGATATTATGACTCAAATGGACTTAATATACAAAGAACATTTGACCCAATCACAAAAAATATACTTTCCTAGAACCTCATGGAACCTTCTCTAAAATTACCACACACTTGGTAATAAAGAAAACCTAAACGTTGCAAAAGGTTGTATCTTATCAGACCACTATGGGTTAAAGTTAAAGTTCAATAACACAAACTGCAGAAAGCCTACAAACTTGTGGAAACTGAACAACTCTCAACTGAATCATCACTGAGTCAAGGAAGAAATAAGAAAAATTAAAGAATTTCTAGAACTCAATGAAAATGAATCCACAGTACACCCAAATATACTGAACACAATGAAAGTAGTGCTAAGAGTAAAGTTCATAGCACTAAGTGCATACATAATGAATTTGGAGAAATCCCACACTAGTGACTTAACAGAACACCTGAAAGTTCTAGAACAAAAAGAAGAAAACTCACCCAGGAGGTGTAGATGGCAAGAAATATTCAAACTCAGGGCTGAAATCAATAAAACTGAAGCAAAGAGAACAATGCAAAGAATCAATGAAACAAAAAAATTTAAAGAGTCAAAATAAAACCAAAGAATTATGAGACTAGTGGCAATAAAATAGTCCCTTAATATTGTTTTTTCTTCTGTCGCATATCAGGTGGCTGTTCTGACATGAAACAGAGATCTTGGATTCTCCTTTAACAAGTGTGCTTGGGTTTAGAGACAGAGAGAAACATTCTCCAATTCCAAAGCCAGTTTTAATTTTTAATTGAACTGGGACCACAAAAAGATCATTTGCATTATATATCTGCAGAGAACAGCAGAAACAATCATTTGGGAAGACAAATGAAATTTTATCCTGCTGGAAATATGATATAGCAGTAGGCCAATTTACTCTCTTGGGACATTTTCTCTGAATGACTCCTCCTTTTGTTTCAGGTGTCTCCATTTGTTCAGTGATAATCAGTTTCCTTAGCTGGATGTGTTTATTCTAAAAAGACAAGAAAAAAAAGAAAAAGAAACCTTTCCCCAACTCTCATTTTGGGGAGGTTCCCTTTTGGAAAGTTATAACTGATCAAATGGAAAGCATTTGTTAGTTTTACAAGATATTTAGATCGAACAGCCATGCTATTTGATGAACCTCTCCTAATTAGTAGGTCTCTCTTGTTGTGTTTTTTCCTTTAAAATTTTACTTCTAAAACTGTTATATCATCCAGAGCAATATGGTTTTTGTTGTTTTGTTTTTTTTACAATAGGCATTAGGTGCTTAAATTGTTCTGGGAAAGAGTTTCCTCAATGGTGACAGAGATCAATTGAAACAAATTAGACACATGGGGTCTTCAAAAGCAACCTCCACACACAAGGTGTTTCTCAATGGCAAAACTTTACTTTGCCCCTTGTTCATCTGTATTCGTTGGTCCAATGTCAGACTTTGCCACATCTTTTACATACTCCAGAAGGCAAGGGCCTTCTCTTTTGATCATTCCTAGAAGAAACATTCTTTCTAGGAGTACCCTGTCTATAATCTCTTTTTAGGTGACCTTGTTTGCCACAATTAAAACACCTGACATTTTTATTCTTCTTCAAGCCTCTGGAAATCACCTCTGATATCCAAGCATCATCATGGTTATGAGATTCAATATTGACTATATCATAAATCCATTCCTCTAAGGCTGCCAATCTTGCCTTTAAAGACCTTATTATCCATTTGCATTGTGAATCAGCATTTTCAAAGCAAGAGATTCAATTCTTATTTGTCTCTCTCATCTTTCCACCAGGTTCTCCACTATAATTGAGGACCAGGCTCCAATACTGCTGTACCAAGTCTTTCCAGTCTTGTGGGACAGTTCTCTTACTAGTTGACCATGAAATTAGCCTCTCCTCAAATCTAATATTTCCACAGAAATCCAGTCAGCACTTATACAGTCTTGAAGATATGTCATTTGGCAGTTTGTACAAGGTGACTGGAGAAATTACAGTAGGTTGTTTGAAAACTTTGGGCTATTCCTCTCTAACTTTATAATGCATTGTTGAGATTGCTTCTCCTTCTAAATTCCTGTCTTTGTCTGAATATCTCTTAAAGCTTGTAACTCATCGAAATGTCATATTCTCTGTAGCAACTTTTTCTAAGGTCTATATTTTAGCCTTCATATCAACTAACTTGGCACTTATATCAACCAACTTTTTTAGGGAATTATCAAGTCAATATTGTTAATAACTGAAATTATATAAATCCCATCTAAGTTAATAATCCCCTCATTTAATTGTTCCATTTTTAAATCATTCATTGTATAATAACACAAAGACCTAACTCCCTCCATCATAATAATGCCCCCCCCTTTTTTTGTTTTTTTGAGACAGGGTTTTTCTGTGTAATATTCCTGGCTGTTTTGGAACTCACTTTATAGATCAGGCTGACCTCAAACTCACAGAGATGTGTTTGCCTTTGGTTCCTAGTTCTGGGACTAAGGCATGTGTAACCACTGCCTGGCAAGTTTCCTGTTTTTTAATGTGGGAAAAACTCTCACTTTTAAAAAACTAACTGCCCCCCCTTTAAGAATTCCCAATTATCTCACCAAATCATCTGAAGATGATAGTGAAATGTGAGGAATAGCAAGCTGCAGCAAAGAACACAGGCAGTGAACAGCCAGGCTGAGGACAGCTGACAGGGATAGTGTGTCAGAGCTTGGGGAAGAAAGAGAAAGGCAGCCAGTGGTGCAGCGACTCTGCTGGGTACAGTTCCCTCAGTGTGAAACTGTGGTAAGGGCCTGGGGCGGCAAAGCCACGGCTATTCATGAATTTGTGTTGATGCTTAACTAGAGACTAGCTCCATCCTTCGATCTCCAAGCAAGCTTTGTTTGTGAGAACACAAAGAAAATATCACACAACAGGGCAGTCTTCCCATTATGAGTTGGATTTCTCCGTCTTTATCGTCGCCCTCTGGTGCCCAAAAGGAGGCAGTACAGTTCAGCATCCTCAGTCCATTATCTCTTGGAGGTGGAGGTCTTCCCATTACTGGAGCAGTACTAGAATGTGGAAGACTTTATTTAGGCAGGGATTCATATAGCCAATGCTGTGTAGCAGAAAATGATCTCAAACTTCTGATCTTCCTACCTACTAGGTAACCCAAATGTGCACTGCCTCACCAAGTTTTATGCATCACTGTGGATGGAACACTAAAGCTTCATGCACACGAGGCAAACATTCAACTAGCAGAACTACATCCTCAGCACCCATACCTGTTTTAAAAAGGGACTAGAAAGAGCCCCTGGTGGTTAACAGCATTTACTGCTCTTATAGAGGATTCAAGTTTGGTTCCCAGCACCCACATGGAGACTCAAACTGCTTGTAACACCAGTTGCAGAGGATCGGATGCCCTCTTCTGAACTCTTTTGGGGACTCCACGTAAGTGATGCACATAAGCTGACACACATATATACACACACACACACATAAATAATCATGTAAATATTTTTACAAGACAACTGTAAATGTTAAGACAAGATATTTTAAATTCACAACTAACCTATTATATAAGCAACAAACAATGAAAATAAAAGTATCATATTTTAGGAAAGGTATTTAAATAAAATGTCAAGTAATATTATATTTAATAATACATTATTTTACTTTGATGCCGGGATGTGGTGGCACATGCCATGAATCATAGCACTCGGGAGGCAGAATTAGGAGGAGCTCGGTAAGTTCGAGGTCTATAAAGCTACAGAGAGAAGCCCTGTCTCAAAAAAATCAAAGAAAATTTTTACTTTGAATGTGGTATATCATGTGTGGCACTTTAAATGTAATTTGCCCCCATAATCTCAGAGGAAGTGGCACTCTTAGGGGGTGTGGCTTTGTTGGAGTGAGTATGGCCTTATTAGAGGAAGTGTGTCATTGTTGGGCAGACTTTGAGGGTTCCTATGGTCAGGATACTGCCCAGTGGTCTCAGCTGACTTCCTGTTGTCTGCAAGATATAGAACTCCCAGTCAACATTCCAGCATCAAGTCTGCCTGCAAGCCATCATGATAATGGACTGAACCTCTGAAACCTTAAGTGAGCCAACCGAATTAAATGTTTCCCTTATAAGAACTGTTTGTCATGGTCATGATGGTTTTTCACAGCAATAGAATACATAACCAAGACATTGAGTGATACTCAAATTACCATTGCTGAAGTCATAACTCACAGAAACAAACATCATGGTTCAGTTAACTACTCCAGCTCCAAGAAGACCCAGATCACTGATTAAGCAAGGGATACCAGTGCTGATATTGTGGGCATGGCAGGAATAAGAAAGCAATCTGTGAACTACCCCATGCCCCAAATTAAGAAAACTACATGACATGGATCAACAGTTTGGAAAGACCAGTATGCAAGAATTAACATGACAGCCTGAATAGAAGTATGCCCATAACAGAAACAGAAACAGAAACAGAAAGCACTAGACCCAGGTACACTTCTAATGAACATGACAGTACAACTAAGGAGGAAACTTAGCTCTGTGCAGAAGACAAAATAAGATGTAACCTCCTAGCTCATTCTATGGAGTCAGCATTGCCCCATACCAAATCTGGACATAAACATAATCAAGAAAGCTGGGGATAGATAAAAACCTCAATAAAATATTAGAGATTATCTAAAAGTAAGTATTATATGGAACAAGCAAAAGGGATTTATCAGTGGGAAAGGCTGGCTCTTTTTTTTCCTTTTTTACTTTAAAATAGAAACAAGCTTGTTTTACATGTCAATCCCAGTTCCCTCCCCCTTTCCTTCTCCTCTTCCCATGGCCAACCCCTATCCTATCCTCTTTCTGCTCCCCAGAGATGGTGAGGCCTTACACTGGGTATCTTCAAAGTCTGTCACATCATTTGATGCAAGGCGTAGGTCCTCCCCTATGTGTCTACGAGGAGACAGTATCCCTCTATGTGGAATGTGCTCTGGAAGTCCATTCATACCCTAGGGATAAATACTGATCTACTAAGAGACCCCAAAGATTACTGAGGCCTCCTAAATGACACCCATGTTCAGGGGGTCTGGGTCAGTTCTATACTTGTTTCCCAACTATCAGTCTGGGGTCCATGAGCACCCTCTTGTCCAGGTCAGCTGTTTCTGTGGGTTTATCCAGCCTGGTCTTGACTGCTTTGCTCATCACTCCTCCCTCTCTTCCACTGGATTCCAGGAGTTCAGCTTAGTGTTTAGCTGTGGGTGTCTGCTTCTACTTCCATCAGCTACTGGATGAAGGCTCTAGGATGGCATACAATGTAGTCATCAATCACAGGATATTCAAATGTGTTTAAGGTAACCTCTCCACTATTACTTAAATTGTTACTTGGGGTTATCCTTGTAGACCTCTGGATATTTCCCTAGTGCCAGATTTCTCTTTAAACCTATAATGGCTCCCTCTATTATGGTATCTCTTTTCTTTCTCTCCTCTATTCTTCCCCCTACTCAGTCTTCCTGCTCCTTCATGTCTTCCTCCGACCTCCTCTTCTCACCTCTTTTTACTAATTCCCTCTTCCCTTTCCTCATGCTCCCAATTTACTGAGGAGATCTTGTCTCTTTCCCCTTCTCCAGGGGACCATGTATGTCTCTTTTAGGATCCTCAGGAAGTATGGATTGTAGGCTGTTAATCCTTTGGTCTATGTCTAAAATCCATATATGAGTGAGTTCATACCATGTTTGTCTTTTTGTGACTATGTTACCTCATTCAGAATGGTTTCTTCTAGTTCCATCCATTTGCCTTCATATTTAAAGATCCCATTGTTTTTCTTTTCCCACTGAATAGTACTCCATGGTGTAAATGTACCACATTTTCTTTATCCACTCTTCAGTTGAGGGCCATCTAGTTTGTTTCAAGGTTCTGACTATTGCAAATAATGCTGCTATGAACATAGTGGAACATATGTCTTGTTGTACAAATGTGCATCTTTTAGATATATGCCTAAGAATGGAATTGCTGAATATTGATTTCCAAAGTGGCTGTATGAGTTTGCACACCCACCAGCAGTGCAGGAGTATTCCCCTTTCTCCACATACTCTTCAGCTTGAACTGGTATTTTTGATTTTAGTCATTCTGACAGGTGCAAAATGGTATCTCAGAGTTGTTTTGATTTGCATTTACCTAATGGCTAAGGATGTTGAGCACTTTCTTAAGTGTCTCTCAGCCATTTTAGGCTCCTCTACTGATAATTCTCAATTTAGGTCTGTACGCCACTCTTTAATTGGATCCTTTGGTGTTTTGGATACTTGCTTCTTGAGTTCTTTGTAAATTTTGGAAATCTACCCTCTGTCAGATGTGGGGTTAGTTGAATGCCTTTTCGAATTCTGTGGACTGCTGTTTTGTTTTGTTGACTGTGTCCTTTGCCTTACTGAAGCTTCTCAGTTACAAGTGTTCCAATTTATCAGTTGTTGAGCTCAGTGTCTCGGTGACTGTTATTATGTTCAGGAAGTAGTCTCCTATACCAATTTGTTTAAGGGTACCTCCCACTTTCTCTTCTAAGAGGTTCAATATGGCTGGGTTTATGTTGAGGTCCATTTGGACTTAAGTGTTATGCATGGTGATAAATATGGATCTATTTGCAGTCTTCTGCATGCCAGCATTCAGTTATGCCAGCACAATCTGTTGAAGATGCTTTCTTTTTCCATTGTATAATTTTATCCTCTTTGTCAAAAATCAGGTATTCATAAGTGTGTGTATTAATATCAGGGTTTTCAATTAAAATCTATTGACCTACAGCTCTATCTTTGTGCCAATACCAAGCAGTTTTAAGGTATACAGGTTTGTAATAAAGCTTGATGTCAGGGATGGTCATGCCTCAGGAAGTTCCTTTATTGTACAGGGTTGTTTTGGCTATCCTGGGTCTTTTATTTTTCCATATACAGGTCAGTATCATTCTTTCAATGTCGGTGAAGAATTGTCCCGGAATTGTGATGGGTATTTTTTAATCTCTAGATTGCTTCTGGCAATATTACCATTTTTACTATGTTGATCCTTCCTATCTAAGGGCATGGGTGATCTTTCCATTTTGTGGTATCTTTTTAATTTCTTTCTTTAAAGACTCAAAGTTCTTGCTATACAGGACTTTCACTTGTTTGGTTAGCCTTACCCCAAGCTATTCTATGTTATTTTTGGCTATTGTAAAGGGTAATGTTTCCCTGATTTCTTTCTCAGCCCATTTATTTTCTGTATATAATAGGGCTACTGCTTTTTTGAGTTAACCTTGTATAATACCACTTTGCTGAAGGTGTTTTTCAGCTGTAGGCATTCCCTGGTAAAGTTTTCAGGTCACTTAATGTAAACTATCATATAATCTTCAAATAGTGAAAGTTTGACTTCTTCCATTTCAGTTTGTATCCCTTTGATCTCCTTTTGTTGTCTTATTGCTCTAGCTATAACTTCCAATACAATATATAAAAGATATGGAGAAAGTGGGCAGCCTTTTCTTATTCCTGATTTTAGAGGAATTACATTGAGTTTCTCTCCATTTAGTTTGAGGATGGCTGTTGGTTTACTGTATATTGCTTTTGTTATGTTTAGTTATGTTCCTGTTATCCCTGATCTCTCCAAGACCTTTATCATGAAGTGGTGTTGGATTTTGTTAAAGGTTTTTTCAGCATCTAGTGATTTCCCTTTTCAGGTTGTTTATATGGTGGATTATATTCATGGATTTTCATATGTTGAACCAGGCCCGCATCCCTGGGATGAACTTTACTTGTCCATGATGGATGATTTCTCTGATGTATTCTTGGATTCAATTTTCCAGTATTTTATTGAGTATTTTTGCAGCAATATTTATGAGGAAAATTGGTCTGTGGCTCTCTTTCCTAGTTGTGTCTTTGTGTGGCTTGGGTACCAAGGTGATTATAGCCTCATAAAAAGAGTTTGGCAGTGAACCTTCTGATTCTATTGTGTGAAACAATTTGAGGCGTATTGATATTATGTCTTCCTTGAATTTCTGCTAGAATTCTGTGCTGAAACCATCTGGCCCCGAGCTTTTTTTTTTTTTTTTGTCGGGAGACTTTAAAT